GCTGAAGAAGGACAAGGAACTCCTGGAGAGGGCCCAGGGCAGGGCCACTGAGATGATGAAGGACCTGGAGCACCTTCCATATGAGGAAAGGCTGAGAGAGCTGGGTCTGTTTAGCTTGGAGAAGAGGAGGCTGAGGGGGGATCTTACCAGTATCTAAAGGGTGGGTGTCAGGAAGGTGGGGCCAGGCTCTTCTCAGGGGTGTCCAGTGACAGGACTAGGGGCAGTGGCCATAAACTGGAAAACAGAAGGTTCAACCTGAACATGAGGAAACACTTCTGCACTGTGAGGGTGACAGAGCACTGGAACAGGCTGCCCAGAGAGGGGATGGAGTCTCCTTCCCTGGAGACTTTCAGAAGCCGCCTGGACTTGTTCCTGTGTGATCTACTCTGGGTGACCCTGCTCTGGCAGGGGGTTGGACTAGATGATCTCTAGAGGTCACTTCCAACCCCTACCACTCTGTGAGTCTGTGAATCTTGTAATGTAATCTATAGGTATCTTTTATGTGTTTATTTCTTGAACTGCTTGCCTTTTTGCTTCTGTCTGTGTTCAGAAGTGCCTTGGCCTTTATAACTCTGAAGAGTTAGGGTGCCTACCTTACGCTGAAACCTGAATTTTCAGCTAGGTGATTTTGCTAAATTTGCAAACAGCCAGATTATATGTATCTTACTTCTGGCAAAAAAAAATCTTTCTCCGTATAAGAGATGCTGCTCTGGTAAATGTAGTTCTGTAAGCTGTAATCCGTCTTGTTTTTCAAGGAGCTGAGATGTCACAAATGTGTCTGACCTGTGCAATGGAGAAGGTAGGGGACACTCCCTACCCAATGCAGTGTTGTATGAGCTGTCTCTAGAAATGGCAGCCTGACAGCCTTCCTGAAGTGATGGTATGTGTGACTTTGTCTCCTAGCCTCGAGTTAGTGGACCTTCAGTGTGGTCTGATCGGAGGACCTGAGGTATTAATTTGTGTTTTGTGTCTTGAATGTAGATCTTGCACAGTAAGGCCATACCATCAAAATTGGTTACTTAGTGGGCAGTGTTTACAAATGTCTTTGTAGTGTAAGGCTATAGTTAAACAGGAATGCTTTGATTTTTCAGTGAAAGGTTTTAATCCTTATCGTGAGCAGTTTGAAAGAATATGTCTGTAAGCAGGAGAATATTTGAATTAATAGGAATTTAAAATCTGTGAAGTAACCTGTGTGCAGCTTTCTCTGCTGTGGGAAAGACGTAAGACAGTGTGTACCTGGGTTATTCTCATGCATCTCAAGGTAGATGATGCAGAGTTTCTGCATCAATCCTTTTGCATTTTTCATTGAACCAATTGTTTGATTTATACAGTTAAAGACATGTTGTAGGTCGTCTTCTTGTTGCAGGTTTTTGCTTTCAGAGTTTATCTGGGTGTGGTCTAGTATGAATTTCTCAGCTGGTATCTGACAATCTGGTTTGTGGAATCAGTTTTGCAAGAATGGTGGTGTAGCAATCATGCATCCCTCAGTGCTGTGTAGCTGTGTGCTTCTCAGCCACAGAGATACGTTGCTTGCCCTTGATCGACAGGAAAGCTGAAGCACAGAGGTCCCTGAGCAACTCAATGGCAGAATCTCAGCGTCAGTGTAGTAGCCACTGAATTTTACTATGTGTACTCTGTGTACATTTATTAGCCAAAGATAGTATGATGCTTCTCACTATTTTCATTCTGTAGGGCAAAATCCAAGCTACCTATCTCAAGGAAGACTGACTGATAACGTTTAGTGAACATTGTGCTCAGTGAAATTAGAATCATGCTACAAATCCTGCCTGTAAGGAATATCACTGTGGCTGTGGGAAATCTATTTGATGACTTGAAAAATAATCTTACTTGCTAAAATCTATTTCTATACCAGATGATTTTGTTTTGCCACAGCAGTTTCTTTTCTTGCAACTAGTTGTGTTTTTACTGATGAGTAAACCAACTACCTTGCCTTAGATAAGTTTTTTTTCAGATGTTCCTCTGAAGTTTAAAAAAATGATGTTGAAAAATGAAAACATGTAGGCATCTTTCCCATACTGTATTCTAACGCAATGACCTAACCGAATTTGGTGCTCATCTTTTTAAGAAGCGAAAACATGTAAAGGGATAAATGCTGACCTTCTAACTCTAAGAAGTAATTTGGGGAAGAGAAGAAGGTAAAGTTCTCATGTACCTGGAAACGTAATTGCAGTGTTTCCTCACTGTAATTGTGTATTGCTGCATCCACACTTCTCTTTGTAAAAGATGAGTCTCTTTGAGTTGGACATTGTCCTAGCCAGCAATTACATCTGACAGAGGCAAAAGTGGTAATTCATCTGAACCACATAGGTCACCCATAAAGCAGATTAACCTAATGGCTCTGTTGCTGCTGTGTTGGAAAGTAAGCTGTTGGTCTTTCTGGAAGAATTTTATCTAAAGTATTTTAAAATGAGATCCAGAATAGAAGCTCTGAAATCGATATTAAGACACTTACAAACCACAACTATTATAATTTGATTGGATACTACTTTTAAACTGCCTCAGAAATGGAAAAGGATTTTGCAGTTAGGGAATAATATGACAAACAAATTGGCCTCTTCCCATAACTTTTACCAGAAATGGCTGATTTATCTGTAAATGATGTAGGTCATGCAGCTTCTTTACATTATTGGGACATACAGGCTTTTTCTGTGCATTTGCTATGAACAGAACAACAGTCAGCTCAGAGAAAAGAGAGAGCATGTTGATTTAGCTAATACTCCAAAGCACTTGATTCTTGTGTCATGTGTAAATTATATGTCGTCTTTATTGACTTCTATAGGATGGTGAATTCAACTGCATTTTAGCATGTAGTCTCTTCTTGTAAAATGAAGTTCCTAATGGTCACATTGCAAGTAACTGTCCAGATATTTTGGGGCAAAATACAGCAGCCTTTCCTGTGTTGGACTTACATAAAGTCCAAGTATATAAGTATAAAGCACCAGTCATCCTCTCTTTGGTCCGTGTTTTTTGGGGATTTTGTTTGGTTATTTATTTGTTTTTTCTTTGACTATGCTTCAGAAAATGATATACTTGGTGGATATCACAGTTCAGTTTTATTTTTTCTGCATGGCATTGTGTTATGAATTTGGGTCAGTTTGCCATTCTTGGTCGATACTGATTGTACTCTGACATGCATGAATGAGTGTTCTGAGCAGCTTCTACCAGAATAAATGTAACTCTTGTGGACCTTGCAGCTTTAGTGTATTTTTCACTTGCGTGGTTAGAAATTAAGTTGGTGCTTCTGTCAGTTGTTTTTCATGATCACATGATAATGTACACCCAGGCCTTTTCTAGTCAATGTATGTGTACAGATTGTGTTACGTCTTCCTTGATTTTGTTTGTGTTCAGTTCTGTTAGAAATGCTCTTTGCTCTGTGTAGTTGGATTTTCTTCAAGCATATGTTCAACTTATTTTTAACATCAAAAATATGTTGTTAAAGTAGTTGGACTTTGTTTTAATGATGCTGGTAATTACAGCTTCATGATTTGTTTTGGTGCTACATGAAGTATGAGGAGGGAAGTAGACTCGATACGGTTGTATTCTGAAATATTTTGGAAGGCGAATGACTTAGAAAGCAACATCAGGAAATAAAATGCAGAAGTTTTTTTGGAGAGTAGGTATCAGTTCAAAGAATTTCTGCAAGCCAGCTTCTTAAGGTTTCGTATTCCTTGTTTTCTTTTCTAGTGAAGCTAGAGTTGAGAATGTTTTCTTGCAGCAGCACAGTGAGATGTCAATGTTCCCGCTAGCAAAGATCATGTAAATTTGATAGGAGCCAAGGTACACTAAGCTGGAACAGCTCTGACTGCAGTGGTGGAACTGTTCAAGAAGCTGTATGTTGGAGTGAAGAACAGTTTCTTTAAATAAATATTTTATTATTCTGAAGATGTTAGTTCCTTTCTCCTTAACGATTTAATTCTGAAAGAGTTGAGTACTGTTTGCTGTTTAGTTTCTGTTCGGGTTACATAGGGTAACTCCCTTCCTTTCTCTCCCATTGTGGTTAACAGCACGTACTGCTTTGGTACAGTTAGAAAGTTTCAGTGCAGTTTTGCTGCTGTTCTGTCATGTGAAAATGCATCTGGCCATATCACTTAGTAAAATCTTTTAAAATATTTTGCAGCACAAAAATTACTCTTCCGCTGAAATGTTTTGCAATTAAAAAAAAAAGTACATTGCTGTATCTCTCTCTTTGCATTTTGAATAAGTATGCTTATCTTCTGTAAGTGGAAGTGGCTTCCTCAGGTCAAAATAAAGTGCTAAAATTTCAATTTAACATAGCAAATGAAGCACAGATACATATTTTTGAGAAACAGTGGGGAAAGTAGTGTAGTTGTTTTTTTTTATATCGGTTTAATAATATTGCTGTGAAATCTGAAGCATCGAAAACGTCTGAATCCAACAGAAGCTAAGTTCTTCTGATATCCTGTATCATCCTATGGTCTAGAATAAACGGTGTGTATCTGAGTAATGCACACTCATTTGTTAGTGGGTTCTACTCTTATTCCGATTATTGACCTTAAAAAAAGAAAGAGAATATTTATGTACAAATTGGTTATCCAAAAATGTGTTCAAGAACTTTTTGCTATGTATGTTGTTACTCACCTTCACCGTCCACTCTTCACCACGGTTGAGAGAGAAGTCTAATTTTTTTTTTTGTTTTTACCTTTGTTTTGTTTGGAATTTTCAGAGTACCTACATATTTGCCTTGTCTTCTGCATAACATTCTGTATGCACAGCCAAAATACAAACTATTTGTCTTGCAAAAGACTTTATGCATTTCTTAGTGTTTCATATAAAAGTTCTTGTACATCAAGTTTGTTACTGGTTTGGATATCCTTGTAGATGGATTTTTTCCTAGGCATGAAAAGCAGTCTAACAGATCTGTGCAGAACTGATCTAATTTTATGCTGGTGATGTTATGTTTAATTTTATTCTGACTTAGTACTCTGTTTTACATTACTCATATTTTTCTTCTAGGCAAACGGAGTGGGCGTAGTAAAAAATGGAAGGAGATGCTGAAGTTGCCACCTGTTAGTCACTGTGAAGGTATTAGATGCTCAATCGGTAGGTGTCCTGTAGAATGGTTTGTCTGATGTTTTTGAGAAGGAAGGGTAAGATTTTGGTGATGTTAACTGAAGGGATTCTGTCTTGCTTCTGATTGCTAATTAGCAAAAAGCTATTAAACTTTTAATGTGATGGAGAATTTATGAGGAGATAAATTTATCAGAAAATAAAAGCTGTATCACAGCTCTTAATTTATTAAAGGAAACTGCCTCTGAAGGAAAATTGTACAAAGCCATGAATTGGAACAAGGAATCATGTTGTAATTTGAATGACATGGTAATGTATTTCACTTTTTTCTTAATGTCTTGTAATGATTTTTTAACCTTTTTTATTATTATCTGGTATTCCTTCTTTCCAAACATTCTTGTTTGCTTTGAGATTGCTATTTCACAATATTGTTTCTTTCCACCCACCAACCTCAGTGAAACTTAAGCATATTATTCATTGTGTGTTTTAATAAATGTGGCAGTCTGTGGGAGACAAATGTTGCTGGGAGTGTTTCACTATTTTTTGGGATCATTGCGTGTTTCTGATGTCTTTGCTGTATATGTTAATATGTTGAGTGATGCTTTTCTGACCTGTTCTCTAATGTGAATAAGGCCATGCTGTGTCAGAGATAAAAATAAAATAAAAGATATTTAATTATTATTTCTTTCTCAGAAAGAGACTATAACCAGCTTTGTGACAAACAGCCTATAGGAAGACTTCTCTTCAGACAGTTCTGTGATTCCAGACCAGATTTGAAAAGATGCATTGAATTTCTGGATGCAGTGGTAAGCAGTGAGGAATTGGAGATGGATATCAGTAGGCAATAGCTTATACACTTTTGTTTCTAAAAAGTTTGATTTTTTTGTGCTGGTTTTGGCTGGGATACAGTTAATTTTCTTCAGTGTGGCTCATGCTGTGCTCTGGTTTGGATTTTTGACCGAAATAGTGTGGATAACAAGAATGTTTTAGTATTGCTGAACAGTGATTACACAGTGTTAAGGCCTTCTATGTTTGTCACACTGCTACACTGGTGGGTAGGTTGGGGATGCACAAGAAGTGAGGAGGGGGACACAGCAAGGACAGCTGAATCCAGCAGACTAAAGGGATATTCCATAACATGTGACATCACGCTCAGCATATAAAGTTGAGGGAAGAAGAAAGAAGGGTGAAGTTACAGTGTTTGTCTTGCCAAGTAGCCATTGAGTGTGATGATGAAGCCCTACTTTCCTGGAAGTGGCTAAACATCTGCCTGCTGATGGGAAGAAGTGAACAAATTTCTTATTTTGCTTGCTTGTGCATACAGCTTTGCTTTATCTGTTAAACTGTTTTTATGTCAACCCATAAGTTTTCTCACTTCTGCCCTTCTGATTATCACTGGAGGGGCAGTGAGTGAGTGGCCGTGTGGGGCTTAGCTGCCTACCAGGGTTAACACACAACAATTGGCAAAATATTAATTTACTCCAAACACATCTGTTTGAGTGCTGCTTACATGAAAATATAATGTGGTTTACTCTTTGCCATTTACTCTTTTCCAACTGTAAAGCTGTAACTTTTGATGAATGTCAAAAAACTCTGGCTCTGTTATTTTGAGGAGGATGTTTAATATTTACTACAAAATCTCAGCCATCTTGGTATGGTCAGAGCTACAAAAATGGGCATGATGGCAATGAGAGGAATAATTTTAGAAAGATAGGCTGCTTGACTTCTCGAGCGTAAAAGGATGTGTGTACAATGAATATTATTTATGATCCTCAGACTTTAAAATGTTGTAAACCTAGACTTGAAAATGTAGCAACCTGCATGGAAGCCCTAGGATAGACAGAACGTGCTAATTAAAAAAAAAAAATACAATGGAGATGGAAATCTAGGGAACCATCTATGGAAGGAGAGAAACCAGATTTTAGTAGACCAAGGGAAAAGGAAGTGTTTTGTCTTGATACATTTACATCTGGGTATCTAATGCTAAAGAATGAGGTGGAGGAAGGAATTGTGCCCGCAGCCATGTTTTGTAAAAAATCCTCAGACATAACCCTCACTGGAGGGCTGGGAGAGTGGGGGGAAGTAAACAGAAGAGTAGGCAGGCACATGACAGTCCTTAAGAGAAGCAAATAGTAGCTCAGAGCTTTTTATTCTTTGTCCCTCATAGTTAAGCTAAACACTGTAAGATCTAGTCTTAAACTGAGATTGCTGCCAAAACAACAGTTTTCCTCATCCCACATGTTTTTGTTCTTATATTCAGGGAACAAATGACCAAAGAAGACGGAAGTAGGGTACTGCTGCTGCTTACATGTGTCCCAAAATACGGTATCAGAATGCAAGGTGGTTCTGAAAGGTGCAGGGTGTAAGGAAGTACATGGGGTTATTGCTGTGCTCTCCACTTCACCATATCGCCCTTCTCCCTATGGGAGTGTAAACTGAGGCACTTGATCAGCTAAAAAGGAACCTTAGTATCCAGTGGGTAGAATTGCCTTACTTGTCAATGCATCTTTGTGCAATTAGGCATACTCCCCAAGTGCACTTCACCATACTTATGTGACTGTTGGGAGCTGTTCCGGCACCAAATTCTAGAGGCCAATTTGACAGTTGGAGACATGGAATGGATTGAATGTAAATCCAGAATAGCGGAGCTAGATATTCTTAAGTGAATGTAAACCAGAGCCTGTAATGGGTATCACACAACGGGGAGACCACTGACAACTGTGGATGTACCCTCAATGGCTACAACTTGTGTACACGTTTTTAGTTCTTGAAAGATTGGATAAGGAGTAGCAGAATGTCTGACAGCACAAAGCAGGAAAAAACCTTAGACATGACTGCAAGGCAGGTGTGCCTTTGCTCTACAGATGTCATTTTTCAGGTGAAGTTGTCTCTAAGAAGTAAGTGTCTTATGCTAACTGAAAATTTTGAATTGTTTTGAAATATGCAGCCTACAGTGTGTGGATTGCAACACTGCTGTGCATTAACCAACACTGTCATAGTTGAGATATCTGATGTAAGGGATGATTTCACAATAATTTTTTTTTAATTATTATTTTTTAACTTCCATTTGAAAAGTCGTGGGGAAGAAGTATGCTTGGGAACCCCTGAAACAGGAGTCCCTTAGGAGCTAAGATAACCTGTAATCAGTGACTCTCATGGCCTGAAAGCTAGCATGCTGCCTTCATCAAGGAGGTGAGGTATCAAGGAGTAGGTGTTTACCTACTAGCTCTTACAGATGGTTCCTGAGTTAGCCTGATTTGTTTTTCTGGACAGGACTTCAGCAAGCTTGTTCAAGCTTTTTTGGGGATTGGGAGGTGGGCTTGAGAAGTTTTGTGTTGGTTTTCGTTTGTAAGGCAGTAATGTGGTAGGAAAGGGTAAGGTGGTGGAATTTTACTTTGGGTTTTGCCATTTTAAATTTTTTTTATTTTATATAAATTTTAGACTTATTCTTTCTGAAAATAAACTTCCTGGCATAAAATGCCATAGTCTTAAATCCCTTGTATCTTATTTAAAAGAGTTTTCTAACTGTCTTATATGGAGCAATGTGATTTCAGCAGCATGATTATTTCAGGAGGCCAAAATGGCAAAAGCAGGGTAGTACAAGGCTCTGTTGTCTACCTATAGTGGCTGCTAAGATGGGTAAACTAACTCTTGAGAGGGTGTGACCTTTAAGTCTGGAGTCAGCTTGGCTTTACAGAAAGAAGAGTTGTTCAATTATTTCACAAAAGTGACAGAAATTAAACCGAGGAATTACAGTTATCCAATCATCTAGTGACTCATTTCACTAGTTGGGGACAAGGTTACTCAAGTATGAAAAAGAATGGGTGACAGCTCAAACTTCCCACTTAAATTCTGTGAGTAACAGAAATTAGTTGACAAGGCTGTCTCTTAAACTTCCTTTTAAATTACAGTATCTGCTTATAATAGTATGCCTAACTGTATTAAATTGGTGACTACTTTGGCATAATTGAAAAATCTTAAAGCTGTTTAGTGCACTGCTGCGGTTCATTAACTTTTCTGACCTGCTCAGGTTTTTTGTAGTTGTAGAAGAATTCCTTACCATTAAACTGATTGTTGTGGAATTCAAGTAGCAAAAACAATGGCTTGGAATTGTTTATGGATTTGAGTAATGTGCTGCAGCGGTTGATACCATAATGTCTCAGCAGAAAAAGATGTTGATGACTTACTAGTGAGTCAGTGAGGGTTAGTTGCAATTGATTGCGGAACTGGAGTTCAGGGATTCTGTTATTTCAGGTACTCTGTGTTTGGTTCTTGACCTGTCATTTTTCAGTGTTATAGTTTGCTTTATAAAAGTACATAACTTCTCTTCTGATTAGATTTATCACTTGGAACTTCCTCTGAGGTTCTTAATAACTGTTGTCCCAATGTGCCAAGCTGTTGTTTTGTACGATACCGCCCTCCATTCTGGAAGTCTGCTATATATTCTTTGTTCCTAGGACCATGCATTTACATTCTGAGATATGAAATAATCAATTGATTGAGTTGGCCCAGCTTACAAAGCCAATACAATTTGCTGTTTGAGATTGCTCTTGTCTAATTCACCTTTCCCCAGATACTGTGTTATCTTTAAGTGTTGTAACTTCTGGTGTCTGCTTCTAGATTATTCCTTAAAATTATTAACAGTAAGTAGTCCTTGCAATTTCTCAATACTAGTGTCTGTTTGGTGGTGGTTTGTGGTGTTGGTTTGGTTCCCCCCCCCCCCAAGCAGCTACCTCTGGAGTGCTATTAAGCTGCCAGTCGTTTATCTGCAAAATGCACTGTATTGCGCAGTGGTCTTTTTTTACACCACAGCTCCATACACTGCCAAGTAAAAAACTTCACAAAATTTTGTGTCTACTCAGTTCTGTTTTCTGCAAAAATGAAGTAGAGTTCTGTTTGGATCTCACTTATTTCCAGTTAACATGACCTTGTAGAAAGTAGCAGTTTTATCCTGGTTTTACCCAATGCTGTAGTAAAGAAAAATACGTGAAGTAAAAAAAAATAAATACAGTGAAGAAAAAGCCAATTATTATACTCTTCTTTAATTATTTACCATCTGCATCATTCTGTCCTACAGTACTACCTAAATACTACTTCATTGTAATTGATCTAATTTAACCTGTAGGATGCAGTTTCTGTAATTGCATTTAGACTAATTGTTAGGTTTCATATGTTTTCCAAAAGTCAAATTCCATGTGCTTTTTTTAAGACTGTTCTTCATACATGTTTCACTCTGTAGTCTAAAATCTTTAAATAGATTTTAAACAATGAGAGCCTTCAGTTTCTTTGGTATTAGGAGCATTGTTATTCATGGTAAAATTTACCTAGCATCATGTAAAAGACTGTAGTGCCAAACAGCTCTGAACATAATTTAATTTTCAATTCCATTCCCCTAGGCAGAATATGAGGTATCTTCAGATGAAAAGCGTATAGACTGTGGCCTGAAAGTTTTAGAGACGTACTTCACTAATGGGGTAAATATATTGCAAAATATTGTCTCAAGTGTTTTGTAAATGTCAGATAAATAACTGGTTGCATTGTTTATAGGAAATTGACTTTCAAACTTCATTAGTCCCATTTTTGTCTTCTGAAAGAGGTATACTGCCTTCTGAAATTGTGAAACTCTTACCGACTTGAGCAGAACCTTGACTGATCTCTGCTTTTAAGACTGTTACGATTACAATTTATTCTCCTATGTTTGGTAATTAAACTACTGGTCTCAAGTAAATATGTACTTTTTAAACTCACTTAGTATCTGAAGAAAACTTACTAACAAATTTACTCAGCGTTTTGTAGTCTGAAGACATAAGAATGGGGAATTCTCAAGATTCTCAAGACTTCTTTCTTGTGCTCTTGTGTGTGGCCTTAGTTGGTTTGCTGTACGTTTTCAGAATTGCTGCAGGTTTTCACAAAGTGAAATGCTGTTTTGTCTTGTTCTAGAGCATTCTGTTTCTCTATTTTGCATGGAAATCATCGATAGCTGACCTTTTGCATATGTTAGTTCTCGCTGATTGATTTTTAAGAGTTTGTTCTTTGGTAACCAGTAGAAGCCTTTCTGTGGATATATAATTAGACATGTGCTTTGTATGAATAGATGCTCCTCTGCTTCTTTTACGTTGGTCATTTGAGAAGACTTTACTGCAAATGAAGGTCTTGCAGATGCCTTAAAAGCAGACAGACTCCAAGTTTGCCACATCTTTTCTGACAATTTCTTGGGGACTACCATAATTCACAGGCTGTTTTTGCAAAAAAAACCCCACAAACCAAAACAAAAAACAACGTGATTTTTTTGGGGGATGGTTTGAAATAGTTTCCAGATTCATGTGTGTGTGTTTCTTTCCCTTTCCTTCCATCCTGCCAAGCCAAATAGATAACTTGCTTTTGTGGTGGTAGACTTA